AGAAGTAAGGCCAGTAGAAGACGGGAGACTAAGAACCTGGCGAAGGACCGAGTCAGGTGGCGGCAGAGACGACGGTGGCGGCGGAACAAAAAACGGTCGCCGCTGCACATCCAGCACCTCCAAATCCAGTGCCTCCAGATCCAGCGCCTCCAACGCCAGTGCCTCCAGCTCCAGGGTCTCCAGTTCCAGTGCCTCCATCTCCAGGGTCTCCAGCTCCAGCGCGTCCAACACCACCAGCTCCGGCAGCTCCAGTACCTGTAGTACGAGCACCTCCAGGACCAGCAGCTCCAGCACCTCCGGTACCTCCAGCTCTAGCAGTAACTCCAGCACCTCCAAGACTAGTAGCTCAAACACCTCCAGCTCCAGTGCCTCCAGCAACATGGCCTCCAGCTCCTGCAGTGCCACTCCTAAGGCGTATGCGCTGAGAAAACCACTCGCGCAGCTGCTCCAGTGAGAGAGGCTCCCGCCGGTGAGATAGTCATGGCGAGGCACTCGCAGGACCTCCGGCAGACGAAGTACCCCTAGGCTCAGCACCCCTAGACTCCGCACCCTCAGACTCAGCATCCCCAGGCTCCGCACCCTCAGGCTCAGTACCCCCAGGCTCCGCACCCTCAGGCTCAGCACCCCCAGACTCCGCACCCTCAGACTCAGCACCCCCAGGCTCCGCACCCTCAGTCTCAGCACCCCCAGGCTCCGCACTCGCAGGCTCAGCACCCCCAGGCTCCGCACTCGCAGGCTCAGCACCCCCAGACGCAGCACCCCCAAACGCTGCACCCCTAGCAGCACCTGAGTCTACAGTGACCTCGACAGTCTCAACCAGGGAGAGTGGGTCAACCTGAGGCACACCTGAGGGAGCAGGACCCTGAGGGGGGAGGGGGTCTACCGGAGGGGGACCTAGAGCGAGGAAGAGCGGCGGTGGGGGGGGGGAGAGGGGCAGTGCGGTAGGGGAAGAGACGGTAAAAGGGAACCGGCTCGTCAAACGTGTCGTCCTGAGAGGGGAGGACACGGCGTGAGGTGGGGTGGTAAAACTGTCAGCCAGGCGCGTCAGGGGGAAAGCCGAGGAAGACGCAGGAAATGGCGCGGGAGGAGAGCTTGTCCGCGGAAGTATCGTGGACGATGGCACGAGAGCCCCAGACCCGGAACACCGACGCATCGCCAACCTTCCCCGTCCAACGCAGTGTAGGCAAGGTCTCCGGTAAGGAGACACGGGGCCAGAGGTTGAGCTGATGCGCAGCGTACCGGACCGCAAACGGCCACAAAAAATGGGGAGCAGCCGCATGGATCATGGAGGTACGAGCGACCTCCATGACTAAGCCAATGCGGCACTCAGCAACCCCATTTTGCTGCGGGGAGGCCGAAAGCGTGAACGTCTGGAGGATTACCTCCCCATGACAAACGTCCCGCAAGAGGACGGAGGAGAAATTACCACCTCTGTCAGAGTGCAGACGGAGGACAAGAAGGTCCTCACGGAACCGCTCACGGAGCTGGAGATGGACTACGCGGATCCAAGGGATCAAGACACCAAGGACCTCACCCTTGCTGCGCAAGGGGAAGACCGTGGTGTAACGCGTGTAGTCGTCAACAACCAGCAAGAAGTAGCGCTCGCGGTCATGTCCACTGACGCGGGCTGGGCCCCACACGTCCTTATGGAGAGCCTACTGGGGAGCAGTCGTCGGGGGAAACGAGGAGGAGTGAGGAGCGGCGCGCTTCCACCCCTTGACGCAAGGAAGAGGGCGGGGCAGGCGAGGGCGGGAGGGGAGGCAGAGACCTGGGAAGACCAGAAACAAGTAGGCGGGAGTGCATACCACGAATGCGTGGCAGGGAGGAGTGACCAAGTCGGTGGTGCCAAAGGAGAGTCTGGTGCAACAGGAGGCGACACGAGCAGGGGGCTGCTACCGTACGTGATGCGGGCACCTGAGCAGACGCAGCTACCTGAGGAGGCTCAGTAGTCAGTATGTACAGACTCGACTTAGGTCGACGGGTGAACGTGTCCAGGTGACGGCCCGTCCGTGTACACGTGTAGATCGACACACACTGGCCCCCAGGAGTGGTTGTAGTGACTATAGCATCCTGAAGGGCAGCGGTACTCACCAAGTTCGTAGAGAACGAGGGGAGGTGAAGACCTGAGAGTGAGCCGCACAAAATCATCGGACACAGGAGTACAGTGGAGGAACGTGCAAGAACTGGGGCCCCTGAGGGGTCAGCCAGTCTGACTGGAACAGGTGCAGGGAGTGGAGTGAGGGTGGTACTGTCGCGAAAGAAATAGCGAAAAGCACCTGAGTCAAGCGTAAAGGTGTGCAAGGCCTCAGCAGGCACAATACAAGGGAGAGCAGACTCACTAGCACCTAGAGTAGCAGCCTTTATACCTGGGTCGGGTGGCACACAAAGGTAACAGTCACCCTCAGCACTAACAGACAAGGCATACATGGCAGCAAGGATAGCATCATAGTCAAGAGCAAAGATATCAACTCCATACCTAAGCAGCTCTAGCCAGCGGGGCGCTCAGCCTCGTCGCCAAACTCTGCGCGCCAAGCGTCGTCAAGGCGGGAGAAGCAGCGGTGCTGTATGTGAAACTTCCCGCCTGTCTGACCAGCGCGGTCACCTGTGCGAATGACATACGGGCAACGAACACTACCCCTAGACGCCCTACGCTGAGCAAACCACTCACGAAGCTGCTGGGGTTTAGGGGTCTCGCTCCTACGCTGCTGCTGCTGCCTCTGGCCCCCGCCAGAACCTCCCCTCTGAACAGCTCCACCCCGACCGCCACCACTGCCGCCTCCACCACTCCCACTGCCGCCACCACCGCCACCACCACTCCCACTGCTGCCACCACCTCCGCCACCGAAGCCCCCACTCCCGCCACCACTCCCACCGCCACCTCCGCCACCTCCACCGCCTCCACCGCCTCCACCACCACTACCCCCGCTGCCACCGCCACCACTCTTGCCTCCCTTGTCCTTTCCGCTTCGGCGCTTCCCACTAAGAGTAGAAGCACCCCCGACGTCCTCATTACCAAGGATGTCAACAGCAGCAGCAGAAGCGTAGGAGGGGGCAAGGGGGGGCGGGGGGGGGGGGGGGGGTAACACCCCTCAAAGAAGGGTGTGCGAGGAGTGCCACGAGCAGCACCTATAGTGACTACGCTAGTCTCAGCTGCAAGGAGGTGCTTCTCGAGCAGGTCGACAGTGAGGTCTGTGGGGTCAAGTGCGAGAAAGTGGTCCCTGACTGCGCGAAGAGAGTCAGGGAGGCGAGTGACTATGAAGTAGAGAGTGATGTTTATCGGGGGCGGGTTCTTGTCTAGGAACTCGGCTGTGAGGGCAGCGTGGTAGCGAGTGTCGCTAGTGTGAAGATGGGTGATGAGGTCCTCGACTGTGGCAAAGGCTGACAGCTCGGGAAAAAGGTAGGGCAGTGTAAGGCGGCCGAGAGGAGCAGTGGCAGGGGAAGGGTAACGAGCGACTACAGCGTCGTACAGGGCTTTAGCAGTCTTGTGCTGGCCAAAGTGAGCGCGTTCCGCTAATGGCAGGTGGTTGCGAACGGCTAAGCGAGCAGCAGCGTCACGGGTAAGCCACTGTGAGCGAGTCGCACTGTCAGCTGTGGCGGGAGGGGCGAGAGAGCCTCCAGACTTGTGGTCAAACATTGAAACGCTATCTCTAGAATCGCTCAGTAGATACAGCTGTAAGTTGTCGAGCCACGTATCGAACTGGATCGGACGGCCCTCATGATCGAAGGTGAGAACACCGAGAGAAGCCATAGCGGGCAGAGCAGGGTGGCGCGCGACCAGCAGGGCAGCACGCAGGCAGGGCGGTGCGCGAGCACTAGGGAAGCGCGCAGGGCAGGGCGAGGCGGCGCACGGCTAGGGAAGAGCGGCGCGCGGCCAGGGCAGGGCAGTGCAATGGTAGGGCAGGGCGGCGGCCAGTAGGGCGGCGCGCGGGCAGCAGGGCGGCGGCCAGTAGGGCGGCGCGCGGGCAGCAGGGCGTCGGCCAGCATGGCGGCGCGCAGCAGGGGAGGCAGCAGCAGGGCGGCGCGGGCAGCAGGGCGGCGAGCAGCAGGGCGGTGCGGGCAGCGGTGCGGCTGCCAGCAGGGCGGCGCGCGGGCAGCAGGGCGTCGGCCAGCAGGGCGGCGCGCAGCATGGCGGGCAGCAGCTGGGCGGCGCGAGCAGCAGGGCGGTGCTGGCAGCAGAGCGGCGCGCGGGCAGGGCAGGGGGACGCGCAGGCAGGGCAGGGCGGGGCAGGGCAGCGCGACTAGTGGGGCGTCGCAATGTGGTGGGCCCTAAAAAAAACGGTCCTGGAACAGGATCTGCTCTGAAACCATGTCAAAATATACTGAACTAGAATGAATGCATTGAACAGAAAGTTGGTAAAAGTACTAACCCTAAATGGGTTGTACCCCTTGTGGGCTACCCCACTATAGCCTACACAATATATGCATTATAACATTTTGACAGTCTTATCAAACACGTGAAAACACCCTTTGCAGTGACCGTACCAGTTATTTTTTTTACCAAACATATTATCGAGACCCTTGTTGATTACGAGTGGCATATTTTCCCTGCAAGTTATTTCTGACAACTAGCTCTATCATCAGTGGTTCTTCGGGTGACAGCTGCACGGCACGTCTGTCATGCGTTGGGCTGAGAATAACCTGGCAATCTTGCGAGAGCATACGTTTCAGTAGTGGTGGTCTGCATTAGTAGTACATCTTACGACATAAGTGCAGATGCATGATAGTAACAGGGACGGGGGAGGAAGGAACAAAAACAGAGGAAAAGGGGGACAGGAAGATTGCAAGGAAAACAGGGGGAAAATGGAAGTGCCACCTTCTTCAAAGAAGAGGAAGCAGTACCGTAGGTCCCATACACTTATTCACTGCCACTAACTTAGCTCCTCTCCGTATTATTCTGGTGTGGCACCACCCTGTGAGGAACAGAGCAGCTTTTTAAAACCCAATCCCTCCGACTCTTCCCTGGGGCGAGTTCATTCAGAGCGCATGGCGCAAATGGTGATTCACAGTGCATAGCGCAGCGTGCCTTGAGCAGAGTCCCCCGCTTCTGACTCCACAGTCAGAGTAAACACCGAGTCCACTGCTGAGCCTGGCAGGGCCGCAGCACGCATGCTGGCAGCAATCGCGTAAGCGTCCGCAGTGCCAGCAGCACCCGACACGCTTGGGAAGTTGTCAAGCCACTCGCACAGCCACACGCCGGGGCGGGGCTGGGACCAGGCGCAAGAAAGGGAAATGTCGGTGGTTTGGGCTGAAGCAGGGTCGGTGACAGAGAGCGTTGCAGATGGTTTGAGGGCGTCTGGGTGAATCACAACAATGCTAACGTCGAGCTTGCACTTGCGGTTGCTGAAGGGATGAGGGAGGGAGGGAGGGAGGGAGGCGGCAGTGGGGTTGAGATTGAGAACTGGGAAAAGAAAGGTTGGCATGCTAGAACCGGGATTGAGGCATTTATGGTGCAGCTATAAGTAGGGACTCACATGTTGGAGACTGCAAACATGGCTCCTCCTTTGAGCTGCCCCCCATTAATCGCTGTCTGGAACCTTCCAGCAGCAACCCCAGCCAGCAGATCGGTTTTACCTGCAGCAATCGAGTTTCAAAGAGTTAAGCTACCCGATCTGTCTTGAGAACGACAGAGGTGAACTGGGCAAAAACGGGTTGTCAGTCGAACGAAGGACCTCTCCTTCGCTACGGCGAAATCACAAGTTCACAAACCGGGTAACCTGGGTGGGGGCCAAGCAACGTACCAAAGACTTGCTCCATTTTCGAGTTGGGCTTGGCTACCGCAAGGTTGGCATTGGAGTCGACCATGAGCCCCATGTTGCGCGCGTCAGAGTACGTCAGACTCAACGCAAACGAATTCACGCGAACCCCCACACCAGCCGTGAATCCGATGTTGTTGATGTTGGCCTGGGTCAGCTTGGTCTGGCCGAAGCAGTCCCACACGCTCGGCGCGACTTGCGAGCACTGCATGTTGCTTCCGAGCGCACCCAGCACGACAGGAGTTTTCGCGTTCAGAGTCACTTCCATTGGCGGATAGGGCGAGCCTGCAGCGGTCAGGCGGAACTGCGAAGGTTTGGTCGTGGACCTGGCAAGGTTGGGGAGGAAAAGGAAAAGAAAAGAAAAAAAGCAGCGGGAATAAAATTGTAGGACATGACACCCCACAGTGATCACGCGGAACTGCAAGGTTGTGCGGAAAAAGGGAGGAGGGGCAGGGAGATCAAGGGGGACAGGGGCTTAGGGAGAGGGGGGAGAAATTGGGGAATATTGGGGTAGGGAGGGCGGAAAACATATCTCCACTCGTGGGTCGTCCTGTCGCCGTCCCTCCCGTCAGTGCTCGCGCAACGGCTCAGTGCTCCCACACCCACACTGCTGCTTGCGACAAGCCATATGCTATGCTCACACCACGAAATCCCCGACCCCAAGTCAAACGTTAAAATTTCCCAACTCTGAATCCCGGGTTTACGGTCCTGACTGCAGATTTCTTACTTGGAGGGGACAGCGATGCTGAACGTCCCTGCCACGTTCAAATCCGAAAAGTCCGCGCTGTAGAACTCTGCATTGGCAAAACATAAACGACAATGGAGAAACGGAGGAGGCGAGAGGATGAGGGGAAGCCATTTCGAGACACGAATAGCAGTAACTCGCACAAGCGCGACAAATTTACTTTTCACGTTATAGGATTTATCACGAAGATTAACCACTAAATTCACACTCGGGGATAACGACGAAACAATTTCAAGGAGCAGGGTGCAGAGAAGGAATCAGGAGAGAGATAGAGAAGGGATGGAGGCACTGACTGGCGGCAGGCGTGGGCGGCGGGAAGAGCATGGTGAGGACGGCCTTGACGAACGCGAGACCCGCTTTCGCGGCGCGCTGCTTGGCAGCCTCGCTCACCGCCTCTGCTCCGGGAACCGTTGACGAGACCAGCACGCCTGCAGAAAACCACAAAGCGAGAACAATCTTAAATTCGGGAAGAGAAATAAAATGAGCGAAGAGAGTATATTAGTTGAGCGAATGAAGAAGGCATGGTTTGATGAGAACCGTACCGGCGATGATGAGGAGGCACGTGAGAACACGGGGAAAAGCCATCGCGGGTATTTCTGAAGCTGTCGATGAGAAACCCTAGACAGAGATACCAGTGATGCGAAAGAAACTCGGGGTTGCTAAGGGGTTTGCGGCCTCTAGAGAAGACGGAGGAGCTTTTGGTATGAAGACGATACTAGGGAAGAAAACGGCTGATGATGAGAAAGGATGTGACGCTGATGGTGTAATAAACAATTTGAGGATGAAAAGGCTTGCGTCGAAGGGTGGAAGTGAACCGCAGTGCTCAGCTGTTTCGTGTGAGGTGAGCGCGGAACCCGGACCGTCAACCATTCGGCCAGTGGTCCAACGGATCAACGATAATGCAGATGATCGCGTTCCATTCGAGTTGTGAAATAATGGAGGCATCGTGCGGTGTTCCGTTATCCACGGAATGAAGGAGCTCGCTTTCTATCCAATTGATAAGAGACGTTCGCGTCTCAGCTGCGCCGATGGAACCTAGTTCGCAGGAAATCGGCTAGGCTCTGTACGCGTTCGAGAATGGTGAAAGCTAGGAACTGAAGCTGTTCTGACTGGCTGGTTGTGACTGGTGAAGGTTTGAAGGTGATGGGGTGGGGAGTGGGGAAGAACAATAAAGCCGACGGAATCAGGAAGTTGATTTGGCGAACCAATAAAGTCTGTTCCTCATCTGACAGAGCCGTCAGATTCCGTCAGCTGCGGGCTGTTGTTGGTCGTAGGTTACTGAACCGCAGAATGTTTCGGGCTGACCGAAAATTAGGATGGTTGAGAAAGAGTTGTTCGTTGGGTGCGTTGGCTGAAAAGGAAAAAATTCCTGGGGTCTGAACGAGTCCGTGACATCTGAGAGGTTGGTGGTTATACAGGACGACGGCTTTCGCACGTAGGGTTTCTGCCCCGTGCCACGGAAACAAATCGAAACTGCATTATTGCTGCCCAGCAACAGCGGGCATGCGAATAATGCGTGACCTGAAATTCCAATTCACTTATATCGAAACCAGAATTATATTGTCCAGCACTACCGCAACCACACACAGCGCGCTTCGGGCATCCAATAATGCAGTGCTTGAAATTCCAACCCCGTCCAACCCCATCGCCCCCGCCCTCCCTATCCCTTCCTCCGCCCAACTCTATCCATCGTCAACCTTCTGAAACGCATATCAACCCTCTGTAAACCTCCGTATATTCCTCAACCAAGCTAATCCACCTCCATCCCATCCTACACCTTCTTCCCAAGCAGACGACTCCACGGTACATAACTCCCAACATATTTCGGAGCATTCATCAGTTCTCATCTTGCTTTTCACCTCTCGACCGGCAATCCCGCTTGCACTTGTGCTCATTCTCGCCCCTATATTCCAGACCAGACCGAGCTTCTTCTGCTAATTCTTGCCACCTCCACTGTCCGTTCGCGGCATTTCACTCAAACGTGTCGTCATGGCCCGCCTCGCATTTCCGCATTGGCTCGTATCCTGCCTAATGTGCCTTCCAGGTAAGAATCGTAAAGGTGCAGATCCGGATGGCCTCTTCGTTACAGATACCCTCATTCCCGTCAGAAATAAAAGCTTCTGCGATTTCTATTCTGGTGCAACGCAGCGCCAAATACGGCTACTCACGCTAAAAATGTCCCATACACGATACACTTGGCCTTGATTCGCGCAGGCCTCGTGCTTCTCCTCTGCGTGGCGCCTGTCACCATGACTTCAGCGGCGTTCGAGGTGACGGACGCGGATATCAAGAAATTCGTTCCCAAAACCTCTTCGCAAGCATGTAAGACGACACGCGTCAGCACTTGACCAACGTCACGCTCAGTTTGCATCACCATTCGGAGCCCAGCGCGATCTCAACGGCTAACCCGGTCGTTCTCCCGTTTCCAATCGACTCTTTGCAGCTTTCTACAGTGCTCTGGTGGTGTCATCGTTCGAATCGCAGGGGACCGTGATCGTGCGAATGCCTGCCGAGTAAGTCCAGCCTTTCGAAGGTCTATCCGTGTCGTTAGCGTTCATGATGAGTTTCATTCCTTGCATACCTCCGTTCCACGAAGCCGGCTGACAAACCGCCGTTTCTGCTGACTTCTGAAACCTCCGTGTTATTCATACTCCCCCACTCCTCCCATTCCCCGTCGGTCCCTCGCGCCAATCACCGCAGCACGGACCTATTCCCGGTGGTTCTCCGCGTGATCATGGCGGGAAGCGTCGACCCGCCAACGGACGTCTCACTCGATGGCACGTCCTTGGCCTCTGACGCCAGTCAGTGGAAGCTGGTGGCGCCAGGAGTGTGGGACCTGACTAGGAGTCTCGACTGGACGACCACTGCTCTAGGGAGCGCCTTGACTGGTGTCAGGGCCGAAGTGTCGCACGCGGATGTGAACGGCAACGCGGTGACCGCGTCGGGATCGCTGGCTAAGATCGGTGCTCTTGATACTGGTACGGATGCACCGCAGGCTGTGTTCTCACTCGCTCTGAATGTGGCACCGCAGGCTGTGTTCTTCTTCCATCCGTTCGTTATGATGACTCGTGACAGGACGAGTTATTCTCCGCGGCGGACTCTGTGAATCGCATCCCGTTGAAATCCCCCTGATGCACCCCTCCCTCTGCATCCCCCCCATTTCCGCCTTTTCCTGTTGCGACCCTCCCAATGCGCCCATCCGCCCCTCCCATGCGCCCCCCACTGCGCCCCCCACTGCGCCCCTCCCATGTGCCAGCCCTCGCAGTGCTGCCATCCATGGCAGGCGGTCGATTCCAAGCCATGTTCTCCGGCGCCGTGGTAGGGGGAGCCAAGATCCGCATCGCCACCAGCACGTGAGTTTGTAATTTCGGAACACCTATTGCAATGAGAGCCAAGCTAGGAGAGGCTGCATTTGAGGGGATTGGAAGGGATGGTGGGGCTGGTAAGAGGGGAAGCCTACTGACAAATTTATGAGAATATGAAATTACAAACAAGCGAATCGAATTATATCTGCTCTACTTGTTGTGTCCTCTGCTGCCCCCTTCTCTGTCCCCCCTCTCTGCCCCCTCCTCTCTGCCCCCTCCTCTCTGTCCCCCCGCCATGCAGCTACACCAAGGTCGGCCTGGAGGTGCACCTGGCCTTCATAAGAGGCGCGACACTCAACACAGCTTGTGCTCTTCCCCTCACCTGCTTTACCTCTTGTGTCCTCTGCTGTCCCCCCTCTGCTGCCCCTCCTCTCTGCAACCACTCTCTGCCCCCCCTCTCTGCCCCCCCTCTCTGCCCCTCCTCTCTGCCCCGCTTCCCTTCACCCTCTCTCTGCCCCTTCTCTCTGCCCTCCGTCATGCAGCGACACCAAGGTTACTCTAGAGGTGCACCTGGCCTTCACCAAGGGCGTAAACACCAACTCAAAAGTTTCCCTGGCGGGTCAGGTCGGAGCTGACAAGTCGGCCCCTCTCGCCCTCGCATGCCCCTTCGCCTCGAACATCAAGGGCGTGTTCACTTGCTCCAAGACCGTCGACGTGAAAATCCCCGCGGGAAGTGCTACCACACCTGGTGTCCTGGGACTGCAGAAATTTATGGCTGCGCTGGTGGGAGCTACTATGTCGGGTGACAATCTGGCTGCAACCTTCACCCTCACAGTCGGCGGACAGGAGGAGAACCTCTATTATGCTCTATAGGCATTGAGGTAGTGGGGAGTTGAGCACATGGTGAGGGTGTGAAGGGAACGAGGAGTATGTAGCTTGCTGTATCTGTTGTTTGTACTGTATTTGCTGCTGCTCTCATTGCACTGGCCTAGACTTCAAGGCGCAACCCAAATGTGTTCACGAAAGCAATCATGTCCTGGGACTGCAGAAATTTATGGCTGGTGGGAGCTATCATGTCTGGTGACAATCTCGCAACCTTCACCCTGATGGTGAATGGGCAGAAAGAGAAACTTTACTGTGGTTTGTGGTTCTATCCCATTAATCCCCATGCGCGTGTGAAGTATTGTCAAGGGGGTGATGGGAAGCAATTGTGGAGTAACTACACATTGTGGATGGCATGAGGGAACATGGTGTTCACGAGAATGTACTTAAGAGATAGATTATGCTCAATGATGCCATCATATTGTTGAAAATCATTTTGAGACTGTAAATTCAGTTTGAAGCGAAGGAGCCTGGGGACCAAAACCACTTAACTTCTTGTTATGCGGGTCCACAATCTGAAACAGGTAGGTAATTAGTCAAGGCGAAGATGCCACAGACAGCTACCCGAGCAAAAGCACAACTCACCTTGACGATTATGATGGCAATCACTCCAAGAATAACAAGCGCCAGCATTGCCAAGTATCTGTTGCCATCTGCTCCAGTGGTTGTGTTATGATACTCGCATGGCGTGAGCATTAACTAACATCTAACTCACCTGTCGACCCAATGCCTTCACAAGCTTGGTTGTACGCTTGAGGGAGAATTCTAAATTGTCAAGCTTATCAACAATTCGCTCCATTTGTTCCGTCTGCACCCGTCACACAAGTGTAAGAACTCAGCACATACAAGCCAAAATCTCCAGTGCCGTACCTGTCCCTTCAAAGTCGTAGCTGTTGCTGCCCCAATGTTGATAGTGTTCTCAACTACCTGAAATAAGAAAAGCACATCATGAACATGTGCATCGCCTTTAACAAAGTAGGGGTTTGTAGCAAGAAAAAACCTGCTTAGATCTTAAAACAGATTGGTCCATTTGTCCCATGACACGATCTCCCTCCTCCATCAGCTGAGCATTTGTCATCGCTGCAGGGAATTCAGGAATGAACGCTCTATACGGTTGAGGTGTCAAATAGAGCTTCATCCGTCAACAAAGGAGGAAGTGATACCAGATGCTAGCCGGGGAGCTCCCACAACTTCAGCCGTTCTTCCGTCTTCGCTCAGCTTCACCTTCTGGCCTTCCTGGATAGCGCTCTGGTAGCTGCAGAAACAACCTCATGATCAGACCAGGGGTAATAACATGAATGATAACACAATGTACGAACGTTTTTTTGAGAGTGACGAAGGCGTTCAAATCTTTCACAAGGGTCCTTTTCTTCTCCTGCAGCAATTTGTTCACTTCCGGTGAGTTCTTAGCTTCTTGGTCTTTCATGTCACGCTCGAATTCCTGAATCAACCTGCAATAAGATCCGTTTGCTCAGTAATGCGACTTCGACGCCACAGCAGAAATTCCACATCCACCTTCTGCACTCCCTAAGTTTAGGTGTGACATCTTCTAGCAACTGGCTTTGGCGAGAAGGGTCTTCGCACTTGTCAATCTTTGAAAAGCTAGTCCTGGAACAGATAAAGAGTGTCAAGCTCTGTATAGGCTCTGAACGTACTATTTATTCACTAATTCAATCCACTCACTTCAACTGGGTGAAGCTTCTACTAAGCTGGTTCGAAATATCGTTCAGGGAAGGCGGCAGGTTCGTTAACGACATTTTGCCTCACAGCGCTCGGAAGCGTCCCAAACTAGTGACCTTGGATGATACCGTCTGTTCGTCCACTCTGTTTGAGAGGTAATGGCACCCGAAGAGAAGCATTTGACACAACCTCCTAGGAGCCCTCCAAAGTCTCGGATCTCGTAGGTTTGGGGGAAGCGCTGCGCATCCTTGCGAAGCAGCAACAGACTCCACAATCTTACCGCGTAAATCTTTGTACAGTAGAGTTGATCTTTAAACATGATCCTACATTCAGCAATCTTAATAACGAGTGATTACATGTTGGGATAAATTGAATGCACCTGACCTTAGTTCTCACAATCTTGACGAAGATTCAAGAAATTACCGAGTTTCCCTAACAAATCAAGCACGAAGTGGCTTCAATCCAAGTTTCGCACGAAGCTTGTTGGCTTCTGCGATTTCAGGATCCTCATGATCTGTCCCGTCTGCTGCCTTCTCCTTATCCTTCTTGCTCTTCTTCTCCCTGCGACATTCAAAACGAACAAAACATGAGCATGTGCCAACAAAGATATATCTGTGCTGTGTAGTGATTTGGCATTGTAAAATCACTGGACTGCCAACTTACTTGGTCGCATCAGCCATCTCATCTCGTCGATCACGTTTCCTCGAATCACCATCCCTGTCCCTGTCTCTATCCCGCTCCCTGTCCCTGTCCCAATCTCTGTCTCTCTCCCTGTCCCTACCCCTATCTCTTTCCCTGCTCCTGTCTCTTCCCCCGTCCCTGTCCCTGTCCCTGTCTCTATCTCTCTCCCTACCCCTGTCTCTTGCCCAATCTCTGTCCCTATCCCTATCCCTGTCCCTATCCTTATCCCTCTCCCTGTCTCTGTCCCTATCCCTATCCCTGTCCTTGTCTCTGTCCCTGTCCCTGTCTCTGTCTCTCTCCCTGCCTCTGTCTCTGTCCCTGTCTCGATCCCGGTCCCTGCCAAGGTAGAAGCAAAGAGACAACAAAAGAGAGACATTGTTGGTATGGAGATTCGACCTTAAACACACCTCACGCTACTCATTTCATCTCTATTCATCTCTGAACCCCCTGAAAAAACACCAAATAATGTTCAGCGCTTTATACTTCTCTCAGAGCACTGCCAGCACTGGGAAACCTGGAAGCACTGATACCCATGAATGCACACTCAAGGAGCTCCGAAGAACTCCATAAGGGGTACAAACATAGGTTCGTTCTTGGGAGAACATATGACACCAAGGCAACCCCCATCCATGAAAGAATGAGGGGACAAGAGAGAGTGGGCCATCTGCAAAAGGCAGGCTTGAAACGACAAGATGCCATTCAAGGACTGCCTAAAAAAAAATGAGCTCTTGCCGCCTTGCAAGCACCACTGCAGCATGCTTCAGGAAGCTTCCCGGAGGATGCTTTCCAGAAAATGCGCAGCCGGCTGTTCTTCCTATCGAATTAATGAGCGGAATTCACACAACAAATAGCTATGGGCAGTTTGAAAGCACTACCAAACGTTGCTCAGGAAAACGAAGACAACAAGGAGTGCCTGAAATTAACTAACCAACTATCTGAGTACAGTGGGATAATGAATACAGTGTCACATACCTGTCTCGATCCCTGTCTCTGTCTCTGTCTCTGTCTCTGTCCCTGTCCCTATCCCTATCTCTTTCTTTGTCCCTGTCCCTGTCTTGGTCACCTTCTCTCTCCCGATACCGATCTTTCTCCTCAGCCTGGACACACATGTATATGACAAAAACGGGAGAAATTCGAAAACAAAAAAAGGGCATAAAAGGAAACGGAGAAATTACACATGGAATGCACAAATGAATTAGGAAACATTTCATGCATTCATCCGTGCATTCAACCGGAGCGGAAAGAGGACTAGGTCGTACCTTATCAGCAACTGGTTCTGGCTCCTCTTCCTCCTCTTCCTCTTCCTCCTCCATCTCGTCATAATCCAACCCACTCTTTCTCAGCTCCAACTGCCCTGCTGCTTCCAACGTCCATCTGGAAAAGAAAGGAAAAAAAAAACACCAGACAGTAAAACTGCTGCCTGCCTAGCAGATTTACAATAAACATACATAGTAGACTAAAGAAATCCTATGTGGACATGGACGCGTCCAGCGTCCTATACGCCAGCGTCCAGACGCTGGCGTATATACGCTGGACGCTCGGATGTCAGGACCTGGACGCTTGGGCCGGGCAGGGAAAAAAAAATTCCGGGCAGGGGGAAAAAAAAGAGGGGGGAGAGGGGGGAAAGGGGGGTACCCGCCACAACACCATACATTTCCAGAGAAAATGTCATAACAAAAAAAAAAAAAACAGATTTATCCAAATAAATATTTCTACACACACACTTTCGGCCATCTACTGATACTCATCCACTTTCGGTCAATTTTTCTTCCCGGGCTGGCCCAAAAAAATTTGGCCGAGCGTCCAGCGTCCGACGAGCGTCTAGCGTCCAGCGTACGGACGCTAGCGCATATACGCTGGACGCTCGCTGTCCAGAGCGTATATGCCCACATAGAAGAAATCAAGGCTAGAACCAGCAGGAAAACCCGGATATCACGAACAACAGATGGTGAAAGTGCTGCGAGTCCCCCAAGTAAAAAAAGAAGTACGCATACAACATAGACCACAGAGAAGGATGGAATCACAAGCAAGCCTTTCACCTGCGAGGTATGCGAGGCAAGGCGATGTCGCAGCTGGAGTCGAGTGTGAGAAGCTCCTCTATGAACTCGTCCACATGCGACAACACAAACACTGGGGAGGAAGGAAGCGGGGAAGGGGGACAGGGGGGGATATGCATGCAGCAATATGACTTCTGGAGTCGAGTGTGAGAAGCTCCTCTATGAACTCGTCCACATGCGATAACACAAACACTGGGGAGGAAGGAAGCGGGGAAGGGGGACAGGGGGGGATATGCGTGCAGCAATATGACTTCTGGAGTCGAGTGTGAGAAGCTCCTCTATGAACTCGTCCACATGCGACAACACAAACACTGGGGAGGAAGGAAGCGGGGAAGGGGGACAGGGGGGGATATGCATGCAGCAATATGACTTCTGGAGTCGAGTGTGAGAAGCTCCTCTATGAACTCGTCCACGTGCAATAACACAAACATTGGAGGTGCGGGGTGGTGCACGGTAAGGGGGAGTGGGGGGGACGAGTGGGGGGACGAGTGGGGGGGACGAGCGGGGGGGACGAGTGGGGGGGAGAGGTGAGGTGATGTCGCAGCTGGAGTCGAGTGTGAGAAGCTCCTCGATGAACTCGTCCACGTGCGACAACACAAACACTGGAGGGAAAGGAGGTGGGGAAGGGGGGAGGGGGGGGAATATGTGTGCAGCAATATCCCTTCTGAAGTCAGGCGTGAAAATCTCGATGAAAAGGCTGGAAGCAGGAGGTAGTTAGCAAATAGGGAGGGGGGAATAAAACGGGGGAGGAGATGGGGAAGGAGGGGGGGAGGGGGGAAGTTGAGAGAGGTGTAAACAAATGCTCTAATGTAGAATCGAGAGTGTCCAAAGCTCCTTGCTCTTTATCCAGATGCAAAAAGACGAGGACTGGAGCGGGGAGGATTGCGGGATACAGGAAAACAACATTGCAGTAAAAGGGTGGTTAGGCTATAAAAGTCCCTGACGACAGAATCGAAACGCGGCAAAGCAACATTAGGCCTGAAGAAGAGAACGGGGAGTGAATGAAAGGAAGAGAACGATAGGATAGGTAGCGCACTTGGAAACCGAGACACTTAGACCTCGCAACAATACCAATAGACGAACACGAGAACTCACTCCCGCTCTCCAGTTTCCTCCGCACTTTGCGGTAGTTGTTATACAGCGGTTCCAGGTACTGGTACACGTCCATTGGATTCCGGACTAGCTCACTTGAATCTAGACACCTAGAACTCATAATGGCAACGACAATCAAGAGCAGTAGCTTACTTCCAATTTCCAGTTTCCTCCGAACTTTCCGATAATCGTTGTACAGTGGCTCCAGGTACTGGTACACGTCCACGAATCATGATGGCTTCCCGACTAGCGCACTAGCAAACCTAGACACCTAGACCTCATGACAGCTTACTTCCACTCTCCAGTTTCCTCCGCACTTTCCGATAGTCGTTGTACAATGGCTCCAGGTACTGGTACACGTCCATTGGCTTCCCCACCAGCCGCAGGTAGAACGCTCCCAGCAACCGCACGTACCTGAGGAGGGGAGGCGGGAAGGAGGGGGAAGGGATGAAAAGGAGACGATGAAGGTTGCAGAATTCCTATTTACGGAATAAAGGATTTCTAGAACCAAAAGTAAGACGTCGTTTTTCTTGATGAGCTCAACCAGCATCCCTAATTCCGCATAACCTGAAGAACCTTGGGAACCAGGCAAATGTGACCGTTGACAAATGAAGCAACCCATACTCACTTGTAATCTGAATTCTTTATAAACTCAACCACAATCTCCTTCTCGGGTTGAATCTGAAGCATCTTGAGAATGAGGCACATGAACGGTGTCGGCTTGCGATTTCCTCCAAAGGTTCCTCCGAAATGGTCCAGATCCATAGCTTTGTCGACCAGGGTTTCAGCTGCCGCGACGAGAACGGAGGAAGCACCACGAAAAAATATATGTGTTTTTTACACAAAAAATTGCTTGCAAGAACGGGGACGAAAACAGGGGAACCGGGAAACATTCACCCAAGAAACGCAACTGGCATAAGCGGAAATAAGGGAGGAGAAACGCATATAGCTTCGTCGACTAGATTTACAGAGCTTTATTTAACGGGATAGCAGACAGAAAGAGACGGAACCGAAACTCGCAACACGAAACAGCGACAAAGATCACGAAAGGTATCGGGAGGCGGGGAGGGGAGGGCCGGGGGGAGGGGGGGAAGGGGGAGGAGCGGATGTGGGATCAACTCATGCAAGCTAGCGATCCGAAACGGCGGAACATCACGATAATCCGATAATCTCGAGGTCTGAGGATTATAAGGTCAGTGTTCGAGAGAAAGTGGTCAAGAGGACTAAACATCGACTTCATCGGCAAGGCGACGAAAAGCTGACGCAATAAGAACGAAAGAAAAAAAAAGAAAAAAAAAAATGATGAACAATTCCCTTTTCAAAGTCGAAAGGACGGACCTGTGAGGCCGAAGCACTGCTCCTTCCAGTAGATGTTCTGATAAATCTTGGCGCGCAGAATCTTCTCCACCAGATTCTGCGGGTTCGTGCCGTGAACCGTTCGCGCCCTCGGATCCGTTCGATTCGCCATGGCGCATCAAGAAGACGAAGACGCCAACCACCTATTCTATCCCCGTCAGGGAGACAGTGATCACTGGTTTCACACTCGGATCGAATCTTTAGGGTTTGACGTCGAACGGAAGGCCTCACCACGACATCGCCCTGAACCCTCAGAAGGAATCAAAGAAAACGTTCTGTGCTCGCCCCTCCAGAAGAGTTCCACTTTTTTCCCTAGTTATCGTCGCTTAGGGCGTGTTCCCTCCCTCGATCGATTGCGAGATCGCTGTGAACCGATCGGGCACACCGATCGCAGGTTAGGGGCACGTTTGGTAAGAGGTGACAATCGCGGTTCGATTTCGAGCCCTGGGTGACAGGTTCGAGAACACAAGGGGGGAACTCTCGATCCTATAAATGCCGAGATCGGTGTGGCCACCTCCGCTGATGAAGATCGTTGGGCACCGGTTACTGTATTTTCGCAAGCCATCTCGAAATGAGGTTACCCTGTCAATTACGACGCTACACATCAATGTAGCTTCCCTCGATCGATCGAGGGCAGGATCGATCGAGGGAGGGGACGAGCCCTCACCGGTTGGTCTCAACACAACCAGCTTCGTCTCAAACTATCAGCGTTCCAGTAGATTTGAACTGCATACATCATTTTTTTTGGGTTGAAAGCAACCCTTTACGATCGATTTTGCCAATTTTATTTTCATATTTATTCAATTTAAATAAAATATGAAAATAAAACTCATAAACTACAGTAACCTTCCCATACTGTCCACAGTGAGTAGTTGTTAATACTATTCACAGTACATCAAACCATATGATTTTTTATCAGGTGTTTTTTGCAGATATGTTATACTGTTTGCATTATATATTTTACTATTAAATGGTATAGTATTAATGATAAATAAATGCATATGCATAAAATAATGCTACAGGATGCATAATGTTTAATATGATATGTCATGAATCATGATGCACATGCATGCACATAATAAAATGCGTGACAATTAACGACCCAAAAACTAAGCTACCGCCATCCCCTGCCTAGCATGGGGGGGAGTTCAATAGCAAAGATTTTCAATAATCAACTATCACATGAAACAACACAATATGTAAATCCTAAAAAAATGGTCAACCCTATCAAATCCAATTCGAAGTGGCAACACACGATTCACTTTGTGCACCAATGAACTTTTTGTGAAATGATAGACCTGAGCCAACCTTTTTAAAATTCACAGACATGTGTCAAATGTATATGCCTTAGCCTATATAGGCTGTAGTGGGGTAGTTTCTAGAGGGTACAACACTTTTGTGTTCTCTATTTGTACCCACTTCATTTCTAGTTCAATCATTCCTGTTTAATTCTTCACATGGTATAGAGCGGGTTCCCTCATGGGACCGTTCCTTCCTAAGGGCCCACCATAAGCATTTTATTTTTAGCTGCCCGAAGCGCGTCTCGCGCCCTGCCCTAAATTTTTTTTTTTTGGCGGCCACCTAGCGGCCCCTAACGGCCCCTACGCGGCCCCTAAGCGATCCCTACGCCGCCCCTAAACGGCCCCGTCGCGGCCCCGTACCTGACGCGGCCCCGTCCCTGACGCGGCCCCGCCCCTACCCGGCCCCTACGCGGCCCCTACGCGGCCCTTACGCGGCCCCTACACGGCCCCTACGCGGCCCCTACGCGGCCCCTACGCGGCCCCTACGCGGCCCCTACCCGGCCCCTACGCGGCCCCCTGCGCGGCCCCCTACGCGGCCCCTCAGCGGCCCCTACGCCGCCCCTACACGGCCTGACCCGGCCCCATCCCTGACGCGGCCCCTACGCGGCCCCTACGCCGCCCCTACGCGGCTCCTACGCGGCCCCTAAACGGCCCGACCCGGCCCCGTACCTGACGCGGCCCCTACGCCGCCCCTAAAAGGCCCCGTCCCGGCCCTACCCCGGCCCCGTCTCGGCCCCGTCCTGGACCTGCCCCGGCCTCGACTCCGTCCTGGACCTGCCTTGGCCCCGACCCCGTCCCGGACCTGCCCCGGCCCCGACCCTGTCCCGGCCCTACCTCGGCCCCGTCCCGGACCTGCCCCGGCCCCGACCCCGTCCCGGACCTGCCCCGGCCCCGACCCTGTCCCGGCCCCGTTGCTGCCCCGTCCCGGACCCTGCTCGGCCCCGACCCTGTCCCGGACCTGCCCCGGCCCTGACCCTGTCACGGCCTCGTTGCTGCCCCGTCCCGGACCCTGCTCGGCCCCGACCCTGTCCCGGCCCTGTCACGGCCCCGACCTAGTCCCGGACCTGTCGGCTTCGCCCCTGGTAAGAGCCTAGCCGGGCCGAGCCGCGCGGCCGAGCCGCACTGCTTTGCCGAGTCGCCCTGCCGAGTCGCACTGTCCTGCCTCGCTCAGTTGCACTGCTGCCGCTGCTAGTCTGCTGCTGCTCCTATCATGGCTAGTCCTAGTCTTCTCACCTTTGATGCTGAGGGTCGAGCGGTTGACTTCGATGTCTGGCTAGATGATCTGCAGCTTTTCCTTCAGTGCGATAGCAAGGATGGTCTCTCCCTGTTTGATCTTACGTCGGGCGCCTCTACTGCCCCTGCTGCTGATGCTGACAGTACCGTTCGCTCGCAGTGGCTCACGCGCGATGCTGTTGCCCGCCTCTGTGCGTAGTCACCTACCGTCTACTGAGCGCGCGCACTTTAGTCAGTACAAGAGTGCTAAGACTCTGTACGGCGCATTAGTTGCACGTTACTCTTCCCCTGCCACTGCTGCGCTTAGCCGCCTCATGCTACCGTACCTGTTCCCTGACCTCGCTGCTTTTGCCACAGTCACTGACCTCATTACGCACCTCCGCACTAGTGACACTCGCTACCGCGCTGCGCTTCCTGCTGAGTTCTGCGCCCAGAACCCCCCCCCCATGTACATCACCCTCTACTACCTAGTCACTCGACTCCCTGACACTCTCCGCTCGGTCAGGGACCAATTCCTCTCTCTTTGCCCTACGACCCTCACTGTCGACCTCCTCGAGGAGCGCCTCCTTGCAGCAGAGACTAGTATCACCGCTGTAGGCGCCTCTCGTGGTGACCCCCGTACCCCTTTCTTTGAGGGGTGCTCCCCCGTTCCTCTTTTGCCCTCTGTTGCCTCTGCTGCTGCTGTCGACCTTGTTGGCACCGAGTCGGTCAGCGCTGCGTCTGCTCCTAGTGAGAGGCGCCGCATCAGCAAGGGCAAGCGGGGCAAGGGAGCTGGAGGAGGTGGTGGGGGCGGCGGTAGTCGCGGTGGAGGCGGAGGAGGGGGTGGGGGTGGAGGTGGTGGTAGAGGTGGGGGCTTCGGTGGCGGCGGTGGAGGTGGAGGCGGCGGTGGCGGTGGCGGGAGGGGTGGAGGAGGCGGAGGCGGCGGCGGCGGAGGTGGAGCTGGCAGAGGCGGAGCTGTGCAGCGGGGACCCCAGCAGCAGCAGCGCTCTCGTGAGACCCCTTCGCCCCAGCAGCTTCGTGAGTGGTACGCGGGGCGCCAGGGGTCTGGGGGTGCTGGTCCCTGTACTTACGTCCTGCGCACCGGTGACCGCACTGGAGAGCAGTGTGGCGGCCTGCACGCCACCCAGCGCTGCTTTGGTCGCCTGACGGACGCCTGGCGTGCCCAGTTCCCGGACGCCACTGAGATCCCTCGTTGGGGAGATCTATTCAGGTTGGGGGTAGCTATCTTTGATCTTGACTTTGATGCCATTCTTGCTGCCATGTATGCTGTGTCTATTAGTGCTGAGGGTGACTGTTACGTGTGTGTTCCGCCTGACCCTGGTATTGAGGCTGCTGCTCTAGGTGCTAGTGAGTCTGCTGCTCCAGGTACTCGTGAGTCTGCTGCTCTAGGTGCTGGTGAGTCTGCTCTCTCAGGTATCGAGTCGGCTCAGGTCTTTCACACCTTCACCCTCGACTCGGGAGCTTCCCGCTCCTTCTTTCGAGACCGCACCACCCTTACGCCGCTCAGTCAGCCGGTTGCGGTCTCCCTGGCAGACCCTTCTGGGGGTCCTGTCCTTGCTCGCTACTCCACTGTCCTCCCGTATCCGGCGGCCCCGTCAGGCTCCCTGTCTGGTCTCTACCTCCCCTCGTTCTCCACGAACTTGGTGAGTGGTGCTGACCTTCAGGATGCCGGAGTTGACCAGTTCACTCCTGCAGGTCAGCGAGTGACCCACTGCACGTGTGCTCAGACGGGCCGCCACTTGGCCTCGTTTACCCATCGACCGGGGTCAAGCCTGTACACACTGACCACAGAGTCTCCTCCGGTTGCTGCGTCTGGTCAGGTAGCTGCGAAGAGTCAGGTGTTTGCTGCAGCGTCTCGGTCAGGTCATGAGTCTGCCCCCTGCTCGTGTCGCCTCCTGTCCCACCAGACCCTCCTCTGGCACCACCGCCTTGGTCACCCCTCCTTGCCTCGTCTCCGAGGCATGGCCTCCCGTGTCCTTGTCTCTGGTCTCCCCCGGTCCCTCCCTCCCCTTCCCCCGGGGCCTGCCCCTACCTGCGTTCCCTGCGTCGAGGGGCGGCAGCGCGCCGCTCCTCACTCCTCCGAGTTTCCCCCGACAGAGGCTCCGCTGCAGACTCTTCACATGGACGTGTGGGGCCCAGCCCGCGTCCGTGGACAGGGTCACGAGCGTTACTTCCTGCTGGTGGTTGACGACTACTCGCGTTACACCACTGTCTTCCCCTTGCGCAGCAAGGGTGAGGTCACTGAGGTGTTGATCGACTGGATCCGCGTTGCTCGTCTCCAGCTCAGAGAGCGTTTCGGCTCGGACTTTCCTGTTCTGCGTCTGCACTCCGACAGAGGCGGAGAGTTTTCCTCCGACCTTCTGCGAGCCTTCTGTCATGCGGAGGGCATCCGCCAGACGTTCACGCTTCCGGCCTCTCCACAGCAAAATGGGATTGCTGAGCGCCGCATTGGCATGGTCATGGATGTCGCTCGTACGTCCATGATCCATGCGGCTGCTCCCCATTTTCTGTGGCCGTTCGCGGTTCAGTACGCGGCGCATCAGATCAACCTTCAGCCCCGGGTCTCCCTGCCGGAGAC